TGTTAAATTATTAATTAATTTTTAATTTTTTATCGTTAACAATTCGTAATTAACAATTAGAAATTCCCATCGCTAGTCTTTAGGTGTTCCGCACTGTATGAAAAAGAATCTACTCTTAAACTCCTTATGCGAAAGGTTTGAAAACACTACGTTTTAAAAAAATTGTAACGACTCACGTGATTATTGAGTATAGATGCGCGATCCATAACTGATAAGTTAACTGTACGTATACGTATAAAGTTTTTTATGCTTAAATTATACGTATCAGATTATTTTTAGTAATTATTGTATAAAATTTTTGCAGATAATACTGTACAGTAGTAACTGAATACTAAATCACAAAACCCGTACCGGACCGGTTAAGATGTCTAAATTCTTTTGCATGCATAATCATGTAATACTGATTATTATATATTTATCATCAAAAAAAATTTTTTTCAAATTTTTTTTTAAAAAAAAAGATGAATACTGCTACATGCACTTTTCGCCTGTTATCTCGCGGGTCGAAAGCCATATTACAACAAAGATCGATTATTACGGCAAGGCCATTTTCAATATTGAAAAATTCACGTTTAGCTAATCCCGTCAAGGTAGGATTTTTTTTTTTTGGTTTATTTCTTTTAGAACCTAACACCGAATATCGCACAGAAAATAAATTATCTAGATCATTATCTGATCTTTCACAAATTCCTTTATTCAGATTACGTTTAATGGCATTAAACCCTCCAAATTAAATCAATTAAGTCAAATTCGAACCGTTCAAACGCTCGACTTTGGTGGTTCCAAAGAAAAAGTTCATGAACGATCGGATTGGCCGAAAGAAAAGTTTCAGAAACTTTTTGAAAATGATACAATCGCTATAATTGGATATGGACCACAAGGAAGGGGTCAATCTTTAAATGCAAAAGACAATGGATTAAATGTCATCGTTGGCTTAAGAGAAGGGGGCAGGAGCTGGAAATTAGCATTGGAAGATGGCTGGGTACGTAATCGATATATGTAATATTATCTGATAGAATTATTCTAATATTTTCAAATAATTATTCACTTTTCATCAACATTTGATATCAGGTGCCTGGAAAGAATCTCTTTAGTATTAATGATGCTCTGTCTAAAGGAACAATCATTGGTAATCTTTTGTCAGATGCAGCTCAAAAGGAACTTTGGCCTCAATTCGTTCCGCACTTAACGAAAGGGAAGACCATATATTTCTCACATGGTTTCTCAATTGTATACAAGGATCAAACAAATGTTGTACCACCAAAAGATATTGATGTGATTATGATAGCACCCAAAGGGTGAGTTTATAAAGGTATATTTGTATAAATTAGGATATTAATAATGATGTATATCGATAATTTTATTGATTAGGTCAGGCAAAACTGTTCGTTCACAATTCCTTGATGGACGTGGTATTAATTCATCATTTGCGGTATATCAAGATACCAGTGGTAAAGCACGAGATAGATGTGTTGCTCTTGGAATTGCCATTGGGTCCGGATACCTTTACGAGACCGATTTTAAAAAAGAAGTTTTCTCTGATCTTTATGGTGAACGAGGAGTTCTTATGGGTGCCATTCAGGGGCTATTTCTTGCACAATATGAAGTATTACGGGAGCATGGACATACACCTTCTGAAGCATTTAATGAAACAGTAGAAGAAGCCACTCAATCATTGTATCCATTAATCGGAGAGAATGGCATGGATTGGTAAATAATTTAAATTAAGTTTTATTTAATTTTACATTTTATTGTTGCCTATAAATTTAAAGTTAATATTATATAATTTAAGGATGTACGCTGCTTGTTCTACAACAGCACAAAGAGGTGCACTCGATTGGTACAAACCATTTCATGATGCTACCAAACCAATTTTTGAAAGATTATATGCATCAGTAGCTGACGGGACTGAAACGCGACGGACGTTAGAAAAAAATTCGTCACCTACATATCGTGAAGAGCTAGAAGAAGAACTAAGAGAAATTAGGTACACATCTTTATTTCGGATGAAATATTAATACATATAATAAATACGCATATTTTCTAATAAATAAAATTATTTTATAGGGAAAGTGAGATTTGGAGAGCTGGCAAGACTGTACGTTCTCTTCGCCCGGAAGCAAAAAATAAAAAATAGTGTTTGTCGTATACATAAAAAAAAATATTTGAAACGAAATAATAAAAACATTATCTTAACTAACGAATTTGATTTGTTAAAAAGTAAAATAAAATAAAAAATGTAAAATGAATATATCAAATATAAATGTTTAAAAAAAGCGTATATGATAAAAACACTATTCCAGCGAAGTTCAGATTGGCTTCAAAGTTAAAGTGCGTGCAATGAACAAAAACACGCCAAATCGGCGAAGTCCGAATTTGACCTCAAGGAGTGAAGTGCGTGCAATGAACGAAAAACACGTCAAATCTCAAGGAGTGAATATACTTGGCAAAATTCATGGGATTTGGGATTGGTACATCGACAAACCCGGACGAATGGGATTGTCTAAAAAATCCAAATCCCAAATCCAAAACTCTGGCCAAATCCCACGTGATTGTTAAAGAGTATAATTTTTAACTGGATCTGGTCTCTTATTTAGAGATATGCATTCTCGTTATAATATTTTTGTGTCCTGAGATGCGATTTGGGACAGTTTTGGGATTTGGATTTTCCACATGGGATTAGTGTCACTCAGACCGGACTGGACGTCAGTTGATACACCTGCACCTACTTTTTTGATACTGATCGACATGCAGATCCCGGTAAAAAATAAAACTTTTAAAAACTTTGAGCGAAGATATAACGATAACTACCTGCTTGAATCTGATAAAACTTTAGATTTGAATTCTATGGATTCATAGAATTTAAATAAAAAAAAGTTCATCGAATTTAGCCATGTGGTT